GACTGGAGTCTAACCCAAGCCTGTTTTGTTCTGAACCCAGTAAACCAACACCCTTGGTAACAGGCAGTCCACACCCATCTCTTTATGACTGTGAGTTTCAGAAGGTGCAATCTTTTAACGTTATTCAAACCAAGATGCTTTCCCGCAAAGTTAATAACCCACATATATGTCTCTGTTGGCACTGATCTTCAAATCCAAGTGAGCCTTGTTGAAAGCCTGCCTTAAAAAATATTTAAATCCTGGTAGGCAGCCAATTGTGTCTTTCACAAAAATAAGCCACAGTTTCTTTGGCCAGACTATGGGGTGTATTTCAGTTATTTCACATGCAAATGACACTACAGAGTTTTGCAGTAAGTTGTGTTTTTACTATTTTGACCTATAAATATGTTGAAAACATCGACTTGTTATTGTGTTAGCTTTTCTGAAAACCTACCAGAACTTTCTCCACTTCAGAAATGATACATGTTAAGGTAGAACTTCCTATTTCGGAAACCACACAAATTCCCCTCCCTTCCCCCGCTGAACACCTCACCAACCTGAGTGTTGCGGTTGACACTTTGACATCAAACGTTACGAAGCACTCAGGAAGTACCAGGAACTCGGTGACACTGAGGTAGACAGACGCTCCAGGGCTGTTTGTCTTTACTGGAAAGTCATGGATTCAGATTGTCCCCATAGGGTCTGTTGCAATGACTACCTACCTAGAAAACAGAGTTTTGCCTCATGACAAGCCTTGAGAGAAATATGTTTGTCTTTTCATTGGTGGGAGGTTATGTGGCTTTTGTAAGCTAGGAAACAACTTGAGGCTGGGGGATGGCTCAGCAGGTGAGGGCGCTCATGCAAACATGAGGCTCTGGCTTTGGATTCTACATGAGAAGCCTGATACAGCTGCCCAGGAGCCTCTATTCCAGCACTGTTGTGGGCAGAGACAGGAGGATCCTGGGACTTGCTGGCCTTCAGGGCAGCTCCAGGTTCAATGAGAGACTGTGCCTCAAGGGAATAAGGTGAAGAGTGACAGAGCAAAACATCTGCCCTCCTCTGGCCTCTGCGCATGTGCGTGGGTCTGCACACCTACAGACATGTGCAAACAGAGAGAGAGAGAGAAGGAGGGAGGGAAGGATCTTCACTCCATTCTATAACTGCTTTCTGCATAAGAAATCTGGCCAGGCAGTGGTGGTGCTTGCCTTTAATCCCAGCACTGGGGAGGCAGAGACAGGTAGATCTCTGTGAGTTCAAGGCCAGTCTGGTCTACAGAGTGAGATCCAGGACAGGCACCAAAACTACACAGAGAAACCCTGTCTCGGGAAAAAGAAAAAGAAAAAGAAAAGAAAAGAAAAGAAAAGAAAAGAAAAGAAAAGAAAAGAAAAGAAGAGAAGAGAAGAGAAAAGAAAAGAAAAGAAAAGAAAAAAGAAAAGAAAAGAAAAAAGAAAAAGAAAAGAAAAGAAAAGAAAAGAAAAGAAAAGAAAAGAAAAGAAAAGAAAAGAAAGAAATCTGGCCTTTGTTTGGCTGGCCAATTTTACCAGCTGATTCTGCACTAGGTATCCTGCTCATTCATTCTTAGCAACAAGTGGTAAGCCAGACCTCCATGAAGAAACACTGGCTCCCTCATGGAAGCCCAGGCTCAGATCATTCCTCTGGGCCTGGGTCCAAGCTGTTGAGTCTCAGCTAGGAGTCCGACTTAATGTCCCTGAAGAGCTATGGAAAGAGAACAACCTGGGTGCAAATTCTCCCCCGATGGCTGTTTAAGCAGGAGCGTTGGTGTCTCTTCTCCCTCTTCATCCACTAGAGACCATCACTAAATTGTGTTAGCAGTGTCTCCTAAATACCACTCAACTCAAGGCCTCCTGCCCCCAGCCTCCACCACCTTAGCTTCATCACAGTCTCCTAGAGGCCTCCTGGCCTCCTTATAAGGTCTTAAAAAAGAAAAACAACCCACAAATTATAGCTATTATAGCTGGGTATGGTAACACAGGCCCATAACCTAGGCACTCAGGAGGCTGAGGCAGGAGAGTGGCCTCAAATCCAAGCCCAGTTTGGGCTATATATCAAGATCCTCTCTCCAAAGCAAACAGATAGAAATTATGCATCAGCCCTGTCTAGTAGAAATGCCATCGGCGAGTGCCATGTGTCAGGAGAGGCTCCGGGGCGCCTCTTTGTTTGCCTCGTGCCTCTCTTCATACCTCGGCCATTCCCAGGTTTGTCTCCTATACTCACCTGCACCAGCTGCCTCCACAAACCTCTCCCAGTGTGGAAGCAGCACGGACCCTCCCAGGCCTGAGCCTCTGCATTCCTCCCAAGAATTCCTTCCCCTCTCTCTGCTTTTCATCAGATTCTTGGATTTCACCTTCAATGGTTCCAGTTATCTGTAATCATTCCACATTATATGGGATATTACAGATGTAAACGATGTTCAAATGTTCTATGATGTTCAAATAATTTTTGTGTAGTTTATTTTTGTCGTGACTCTGATTCCTTACGAGATATTGACAGTCTCTTGCTGCATCTAATTTACAAATTAAACTTTGGGGCTGGAGAGATAGCTCAGAAGTTAAAAGTATAGTGTCGCTCTGGAAGAGGACCAAATTGGGTTCCCAGCACCCACAAGTGACTCACAACTACCAGTAACTCCAACTCCAGGGGATATGACACCCTCTTCTGCATGCATGGGTGCAAACACACACACACACACACACACACACACACACACACACACACAATTTTTTAAAAGACAAACCTTTATAGTTTAAATTTATTATAGGTACATATAAGCAAAAATGCAGTGTATTTTGAGGCTTGTGCTATCTGCTTTAGGTTTCTGCAGAGTGTTTAAAGCATGCACCTGCTACAGATAAGAAGCACTGATATGTTCCCAGTGTGGAATTCACCATCTCTAGAAAGCTGTTGTGTTCTTACACACCGTACCACCAGCCCACTGAAGCCTGGGGCTCTCCACCCACCTGCCTTCGGAGCCCTCAGAATATGACACATGTGCTGTCCTGGATGGAGTTTCCCTCTGGTTCTAGCTAAGTTTTCAGGCCAAAGTCTCACTTTGTGTGCTCTATTTTGTCCCATGTCTTCAGCCACATACAGAATCTGTCACCAAAGAGGCATTAAATAAATCGTTGGTTAATGACCAGGTTCAGGATCAAGGTGGGTTGGTTTTTTGTTTTTGTTTTTTTTTTTTCTTCTCTTTTGTTTTGTTTGTGAGACAAGGTCTTCCTACGTAGCCGTGGCTGGACTAGAACTCACTGGAACTCACTAGGTTGGCCTAGAACTTAAAGATACCTGCCTGCCTCTGCCTTCGGATTTCTGAGCTTAAATCTGTGCATAGCCATGCCTGGCTCACTCAAGGTGACTTTTAACGTATTGGCCTGATCCATGCCTTACAAAACATCATTTAGGTTTTTACAAATTGAAATATTTGTTTCAAATTTCAGCTTTAAGATATTGTTAAATTAGGCTTTCATGCTGCAGTATAATAGATTTGAACATATAACTTAGAAATGTATAGCGCCCATTGCAGACCAGTAGGCATGTTACAAAACAAGTTTGTTCTAAAGACCTTCAGAGATATCGTAGGTATCCTGTCATTTTGTGATTACTTACAGAATATTTCAAGGTCTCAAGGCTGGCCAATTAAAAAAAAATGTTATGGTTTATAGTCCTTTATCTGTGCGAAGGAGGAATTTCTCATTAGAGTGTGACCAAAATAAACTGTAGGAATAATCTGAACCCTGAGTCTGGCTTCAGACAGCAACAGGTCTCATAACCCTTCTGCGTTTTCCATAAAGGAGCCCACATTTCTCATTACTGCACTCTATGGTGTGTGAATATAATAAGTTTGAGGCTATAATGGGAATATATGTGTAAGATGAACCGTTAGCCATTCGATATTTTAGGGATTTCTGGAATGTTATTTGAAAGACGGGCTGAGCCTGTTTCTTTGAAAGTTTCAAAACCACTAGCTGAGGAGGCAATGTCCTAGGCCCGAGCCTACCAGTAAGTAATTCAGCAACCAGTGCCTAAGAAAACAAGGCAGCTGCTTGGGGACTGAACCCAGGGAGGCCCAAACAGGAAAAAACACTTCAGCATTCTGCTGCAGAGTGAGGAGAACAAGAATATATATGCTCTGGGTCTCATCTGCACACCCAGATCCCTGATCTCGAAAGTTGGTGGGTTAGCCTCAGTGCTGACTTCAAAATCGCCTGGCCCGTGCTCAGCAGTTGGGGAAACCCTTAAAGTAACAGACGCAGGTGCCTGAATGCTGGAGGGTGACACAGACCTGGAACGTGCTGATTCAGTAACAGCAGAGCTCGGAGCAAGCCAGCCGAAGCTGAATAAAAAGTTGTAGTTCAGGGCTGGGCCTCTCTGTTCAGAACGAGGGCACGACACAGCACCCATTCCGTCTCCTACTTCCAGATGCCATGCTCCACACACTACACAGAGAAACCCTGTCTCGAAAAACAAACAAAAAAAAAGTTGCAGTTCGGGGCTGGGCCTCTCTGTTCAGAACGAGGGCACGACACAGCACCCATTCCGTCTCCTACTTCCAGATGCCATGCTCCACACAGGGCTTGGCTTGGCTTTGAGCTTCACGGTTCCCCCCCTGGTCATGTGACCTTTTCAACAAAGTAGATTTGACATCAGGCTCTCTTCTGGTCCCTCCTCCTCCTCCTCCTCCTCCTCTTCTGCTTCCCTGGGGCTTTCCCCTACTCTTCTAAAACGTTGTCTCTCCAACAGCTGATGGGGGAGAGAGAGACATTTCCTTCAGTGGTGTAGAGCCCATGCTCCTGCAAACAACGCCCGCCCCGCACCTGTAAATAACCCTAATGAAGCTTACTGGGTGATAAAATCAGGGAAGGGGAGCAGGAGAGTAGAAGATGGGCTCGTTGGAAAGAGGAATGGGATTAACTGGGTGTGGGAAGAGGCAAGATGCTGAGGCGCTAACTGTGATCAAAATACGCAATGAGAATAATTACGTGTAATTAAAATATGACAGTAAAACCATTTTTTAAGTTCTCTCTCAGTTCGGCCTCTCTTGCTACCGTCCTCTCTGTCCCTAAGCTTCACGTGAAACTTCTTGCCCTCAAGACGGGACTGTCACATTGAGTCCCCTCCCTAGCCCCGTGTACCTGGATTTCCCCTGCTGTACCGATGGCATCATCTTCTCAAAGGTCACTGGCAACTTCCTGATTCAAGTCCCAGGAGCTTTCTGGAAACCAATGCTCTCCCCGACTTTTTCTCGTAAGGATTTCCCTAGGCAACCGCGCCTCAGTTTTGAGATGCCCTCTGCTGTTGTGACTTCACTTCCTGCTTCTCCCTGGCCCCATCCCTCACCACTTCTGCCTCCAAAAGCTTTTTCCTGTGTGTCTACAGCAGTGGTTCTCAACCTGTGGGGCGTGACCCCTCTGGGGATCAAACAACCCTTTCACAGGGGTCATATATCAGCTATCCTGCATATCAGATATTTACTTTATGATTCATAACAGTAGCAAAATTACAGTTATAAAGTAGCAACAAAATAATTTTATGGCTGGCGGTCGCCACAACATGAGGAACTGTATGAAAGGGTCGTAGCATTAGGAACATTGAGAACCACTCTGCTCTACACCCAGATGACTATCTTAGCCTACAGCACTGCTATTCCAGGGTGCAGCAGACCAACCAGCTTAAAACAATTGACTTTCTACCCATTCTGGAAGCTAGAAGTCCAAGATGGTGTCAGTGTTGGTATATTGGTATATTTTCCATTGCTACAAAAAAAGAAAAAAAAAAACCTGACATTTCGTTCTTTGTAAATGAAAAAGGTTTATTTGGTTCACACATCTTCAAGACCAAGAGCACAGCACTGGCTCTCACTCAGCTCTGGTGAAGGGCCTCTTCACAGGAACATGCACTGTAATTGAAGAGCAAGACAGGAAATCAGAGAATTCAGTAACCAGCTGTATATCTTGATCTCCAAGGACCTGCCCAGAGTTCCACAGCAATTACATGAGCCCCTTCCTAGTGCAGCATCCACAAAGACTTAACCGCCTCCCAAGAGGCCCCACCTCTTGAAGGTCCCACCACCTCAACACTACCATACCACTTGGGGACCAAATCTCCAGCCCATGAACCTTTGGGGACCCTCGAACCATCTCTAAACCATGACAGCACATTTCTTCTGTAGGCTGTCTTACTGGTTTGTAGATGGTGGCATCCTCCTGTGGCCTCATGGTCTCCCCTCTGTTTATACGTGTTCCTGACCTTTTCTTGTCAAGGACACTAATCACACTGATTAGGGCCTCCTAAGGAGAGACACAGTGTGACCCATAACAGTGGTCCTTCCTGTTCAATTCTTGGTCCTTTTAAATATTTTTCTTTCTTACACCCATCCTAAAACTGGATGTATTGTTACCAAGTAAAATGGTTTTTATTATTATTATTGCAAAAGTAATGTATCTCATGTTTTCAGAAGAAAACATCAAAGGTGTTGGGGGAAAAAAGATTACTACGATGACGTGGGTTGTAAATACAATTTAGCTCCCAGTTCTCATTTGAGCGCTCAGGCCCATTCCCAGCGTGCTCTCAGGGGTCCCCAGTGAGTGCTGGCAGTTCTGACAGGCTGTGCTCCTGTGGAAGCTGGAAGCCGCCCCTACTTCCCTTCCTTTTATTCATCTGAATTCCCCACAGCCTTCCCATCCCCCTCCTTCCTTTGCCTGACACTGATGACCAGATATTCTCTTTGTCCCCTTCGAAGACTGGCTGTTTAATTAGCTGTTTAATACGGTATTTATGAGGCTCCTTATTGGAAATCTTTTTAGAACTTTAGATAATGGTGTCGGTGGATGAAACTCACTGAGGAACCGGCCTGTTGAACAATCATGAGGCTACCTGGCCCCCTGTAATTTCTCCTCTACCCCCACCTTTTCTTGCATTGCGCAACCCCTTACCAGCTTAGGTTTCTATGACAGCCTCCCATGAACCGCATTCACCTCCATACGCCTGTGAGCCCCCACCCAAGGCATCACGCCTTGAAGCCTCTGCTTGACGCCTTTGGGATCTCCACACTTCTTCCAACAGAGCCCAGTGTTTTGAGCCAGTGTTTCTTGATTTCTTGACTTGATTCCTGCTCGCTCTTCCACAGAGCACAGAGCGTGAGGCAAAGAGAGTGCCCATTTGCTTTGCCTTGACTGTCCTCATACAGCTCCATTTATTGGCATTGGCTCTGATGTTCTTTTGAAATACTGCTTCCCCATCTGCGCCATCAGAAACCCCTAAAGATGGGGCCCACCACTCAGGAGAAGTATTGCATGGCTTCTCACCTGCTTTGAGCACATCACTCTGGGAACCCCTATACTCAAGGCCTTGTTGAGCCATCCTGATGACAGGCCAAACACCCTGCTTGGGGCTTATGTATGTTTCACATTCATACCTTTGATGTTCCCGTCCTCGTCCCTCTAAGGGCTTAATGAGGCTGGGTGGGTTGTATAGCTGAAGTTTTCTCCAGTCCTGCCTGGCCCACGGTCAGGACAAATCTCTCTCACCCGCCAGTTCCGCAGCCACCTAGACCCAACCAAGTAAACACACAGAGACTTATATTGCTTACAAACTGTATGGTAGCAGCAGGCTTCTTGTTATCTAGTTCTTATATCTTAAATTAACCCATAAATTTCTATAAATCTATACCTTGCCACATGGCTCGTGGCTTACCAGTATCTTACATGTTGGTGCTCATGGCGGTGGCTGGCGGCATCTCCTGACTCAGCCTTCCTGTTCCCAGAATTCTCTTCTATGTTTGTCCTGCCTATACTTCCTGTCTGGCTACTGACCAATCAGTATTTTATTTATATAGAGCGATATCCACAACAGGGTTGTGCAAGGCAGGTGGTGGGTCAGAATTCAAAGCCCAAGTGAAACTCACACTCTGTGATGAACCTTGTGTGGCCTATGTTGGTGTGCTTCTCAGAGACCCACACAAAGGAAACACATCTTTGTCCTTCTCACCTTGCATGATGCACTGGGCCAGCCACTGGCCAGCCACTTTCAAACCTGATTATTCATGGGGCAGTGCAGTAGGTAGGCCTGGGATTCTAGATTAGTCCAAGACATTATAGAGAATAATCATGTTAGCTTACATCTTTGTGTGCACATGCATTTACATATGCATGTGGGTTCGTATGTATGTACATAACATAAATTGATGCTGGGTGTTTCCCTCAATTACTTTTCACCTCATTTTTTCATTGTTTATTTATTTATTGGGATGTTTATTCCATAGTGTGTGTGTGTGTGTGTGTGTGTGTGTGTGTGTGTGTGTGTGTGTCAAAGGACAACTTGTGGGTGTAAATTCTTCCCTTCTATCATGTGGATACCAGGATTAGAACTCAGGTCTTTGGTATTTTGTCACAGCAACAAGAAACAGAAATTAGAAGGGGCCCAGATATGAATGGTTCTTGCCTTTTCTTTTAGTCCCCCTCCTGCCCAAGGAACAGCATTATAGTGATGTAGAACTGGGTTGGGGGCGGGGGGGGGGGGGGGGGGGTTCAGCCAGAGAGCACCTGTCAACACAGAGAATGTGCAACCATTCCCTACTACCTTGTATAATGGCTCTGAAGGATGTGGGAGATGCTCATCCCATATTCTCCTAAGGGAAAGCAGAGTGCAAAGTCCTGTGTGTAGTGAGATCCCATTCTAATATGTTTACATTCAAAGAAACCTGTTATATCTCACACATAGCAACTTGAGAAAATGAGCATTGTGGAAAATGAAGACATATTTCCCCAAAGATATTCCCTCAATGTATCCCTGTATGTTTTGGATGAAATTGCCTTAGCTACTTTAAAATGCATTTAATGTTGTCCTAGTCAAGACACATTACAGCTATAGTGACAGGTAAAACAGGCAGGGTGTGTATTTCTCGGGAACACGCGTACGTGTCTCCTATTCAGTCGGAACTCAGAGGCAAATCGATGTGTGGTGCATGGACCTCACGATTCCAGCAACTCTGCCCTCACCACATTCTGGCAGCTGTTGGGAGAACTAGAAGAAGATGCCACCCAAGGCCTTCCGTCTGTAGGCATGTGAATGTCTGTGCCTGGCAGGAACTTGGTCAGGCATATACCACTTCCTCTTCTTTGGGAATTCCAGGACTGACGTGGAATGTGCTTTGACCTAAGAGCGGGTGACCAAGCCGCGGTGAATTGAGCAGAGTTCTGCTGACTCACCGTCTTGTGCCTGTGAGAAAGGCACAGGGGACGATGGATCAGATGGGTCCTGTCACCTCTGTCAGCCGATGCCCCCTCTCTGTTCTTCTTGCCCCCACTGTTTCAAAGGTGCCTGATTCTGACCTGGTCTATAGTTAACTGCCATTTACCCACCAGCTGCCCCTCGCCGGCATTCTAAAAATGCAAGTGGAGGGTTCATGTCTTCACGGTCTCCTTACCCAACCCAGTTCCACATCTCTGCTTAGACAGGAGCTTTCTGACATTCTGTGCTAGAAGTCCAGCCTCAGTGAACAGCAAGAACTTCACTGAATACAACACATCCCACACTCTGACACCCCTCCCAGGCTGGGGGCAGAGCTCAGTGGTTGTGGGGGGCCTGCCCCCACATTTACACCCCCCCCCCCGAGTACTCTTGAGCAGGAACTCAATTCAAAAAGGAAATATTTAGATAGAAATCTAGAGGAGAGAGACAGACAGAAACACAGGATAGCCTCGGGAGGGCCTGGGTCAAAACCTACCAGCCCCTCTGTCTCCTCTAAAGGGCTTTTAAAGGAAAGCCAAAGGGGTGAAGCAAAAGACCTCCCCCTAGCACAGTCAAGTGCAGAACATTGCAAACACCTGGTAACCATGCATGTGGTCCAGCCACCCCCTAATGCAGCCCTGCTGTGTAAAGCAAGCTCAGATCTCACTAGGAAACCTCTGTGGACACCCACAAGTGGTAGAGCAGGCACAAGGAAAAACTTACTGTGCTTTAGATAAATGGAATGAATGAGAAAAACCAAATTAACACAATGAAACAAGTCAGGCCAGAAAGAAATGCTTGGTGCTGGGTCCCATCTGGGTCTGCCTGCACTGTGAGGAGGGAGGCCATCCTGGGTCACTGCCTTCGTTTGCTTTCTGTTGCCGTGATAAACACCATGGGCAAAAGTCACTTGGGGAGGATAGGGTTCATTTCAGCTTACAGTTTATAGTTCATGGTGAAGGGAAGTCAGGGCAGGAACCGAGGAAGAGGCCAGAGAGGAACACTGCTTATTGGCTTGCTCCCCATTCTAAGTGGTCTTAATAATAAAAACCTGGAGTCAGACGTTGGGGTAAATGCTGAAAGATCAGAGGGACAAAGGAGTAAGCCACAGCTACTTCTTACCTCGCCAACACCTCAGCCTGAAAGGAGGGCTGAGCTTCTGTCTTCTCCCGCCTTATATTCCTCTCCCCGCCTAGCCATATCACTTCCTGTCTCCACCTCCCTAGTGCTGGGATTAAAGGTGTGTGCTTCCCAAGTGCTGGGATTAAAGGAGTGTGCCTCCCATGTGCTGGGATTAAAGGTGTGCCCCACCACCACCCGGCTCTGTTTCTCCTTTAGAGTGGAGCAATCTTGTGTAGCCCAGGGTGGCCTTGAACTCCTGATCTTCCTGCTTCTGCCTTCCAAGTGCTAGGATTAAAGGTGTGTGCCACCACTGCCTGGCCTCTATGGTGAACTAGTGGCCAGCTCTGCACTCTGATCTCTAGGCAAGCTTTATTTGTTAGAGCACAAACAAAATATCACCACACCACACTATGGTTGCTCAGCTTGCTTTTTTATACAATCCAGGACCATGTAGCTAGAGTTTTCCTGCCTTGCCCACAGTCAGGACAAATCTTTGTCACCTGCCAGTCCCACAGCTGCTCAGACCCAACCAAGTAAACACAGAGACTTATATTGCATACAAACTGTATGGCCGTGGCAGGCTTCTTGCTAACTGTTCTTATAGCTTAAATTAATTCATTTCCATAAATCTATACCTTGCCACGTGGCTGGTGGCTTACCTGCGTCTTCACATGCTGCTGGTCATGGCGGCAGCTGGCAGTGTCTCTCTGCCTCAGCCTTCCGCTTCCCAGAATTCTCCTCTCTCCTTGTCCCACCTACTTCCTGCCTGGCCACTGGCCAATCAGTGTTTTATTTATTGACCAATCAGAGCAATTTGACATACAGACCATCCCACAGCAGGACCACCTGCTGAGGGATGGCACCATTCACAGTGAATGGTATGGGCTCTCCCACACTTTAGTAATTAATCAAGAATATGGCCCATGGAGTTGACAATAGGCCAATCTGATGGAGGTGTTTTCTCAATTGAGGTTCCTTGCTCATGACCCTAGCTTGTGTTGAGGTGACAGAAAACTTACTGGCAGAGCCATTCATCTGCCCATGCTGCTGTCCCTCCCCACTTCTTCTGGCCCATCTGTTGGGGGTATTCAATCATGTTATGAACCCCAAGTTTGCATTTGCATTGATTGAAAAGAATTAACCTTGGGTCAGGAGGTTGAGTTAGCAACTTGTTGGCAGAAAATAATCATAGAGCATCAGAGGGCATCCGGGAGAGCTAGAGAGACACAGGAAGTAGTGGGGAGGACTTTGGAGTAGCACAGCTTTTTCTGGTTTGGCGGAGCAGAAGGATGCTCTCTTTGGGAGACGCCAGCAAGGAGAGAAGGTTAGCTAGTTACCACCCAGCTTCTCTGAGCTAGCAGGTTTTCACCCCAGCCTTTGCATCTTGAGTTTTATTTATAAATAGAATGATAGAGATTTAATTAAAAGCTACCTTTAGCAGTAGCAACAGAGTCAGAATTCCAGTCTGTGGCCTCAGCAGCCAGGCCACTGCCAGAGAAGCAGGCCAGTAACTGCGAAGTCACAATCGCCGGCTGAAATAGCATTAGATTAAGGCACAGCCACTGTGCTGAAGTTAAAATAGCACTCATCCTTCTCCACAAAGCATGTGGGCTCACACCAGCTCACAAATGCCACTGTGGCAGCACTTACATTATTTCACTGTTCCCTGCGTATCCACATCTCTTCCCAGAAAGGAAGTGCTTTAAGAACTCAGACCACATCCCTGAGTGTATTAAACTGGGGTTTGAGGTAGGCAGGCCCCTTGATGGTTATACGACCACAGTAAATCATGGAACTGCCCTGGGGATGATAATAATTATGTGTTGCTAGTGGAAGCAACACACACTATATAGAATGGTCCTGGTGATTGTTTACCCAGCCTTGACACTTATAGTCTGTTATAATGCCAATCACAAGGCTTATCATGTCATCGATGTCCAATGAATATTTGCTGGCTGGCTGACAGATGATGAGTTATATATCCATTGAATGAATGTATATGAACCTGGATCGCATCTATGTGTCTAATCCTTAAGAATGCTTTATGGGTCCCCTGAGAGCCACAGTAAATTAGAAATCAACATTACAGATTTTGCCGAGTTTGGGGATGAGGTGGGGGAGCGGGTTTGAATCCATGCTAACTAAGTACATTCTGCACCACTGAGCTCTGGTTGATTTTTTTCTTTTAGCATTCC